AAGACAGGACAGCACTGAGCAGTACTCAAGACGGGACAGTACCCAGCAGTACTCAAGACGGGACAGCACCGAGCAGTACTCAAGACGGGACAGCACTGAGCAGTACTCAAGACGGGACAGCACTGAGCAGTACTCAAGACGGGACAGCACCGAGCAGTACTCAAGACGGGACAGCACTGAGCAGTACTCAAGACGGGACAGCACTGAGCAGTACTCAAGACGGGACAGCACTGAGCAGTACTCAAGACGGGACAGCACCGAGCAGTACTCAAGACGGGACAGCACTGAGCAGTACTCAAGACGGGACAGCACTGAGCAGTACTCAAGACGGGACAGCACTGAGCAGTACTCAAGACGGGACAGCACCGAGCAGTACTCAATACGGGACAGCACCGAGCAGTACTCAAGACGGGACAGCACCGAGCAGTACTCAATACGGGACAGCACCGAGCAGTACTCAAGACGGGACAGCACCAGTGATTTGAAAAGAATTAACATTGCTGCGGGATCCCTTGATCTGAACATTGCTATAATCCATAATATTATTTTTCTGGCTGGCGCTATACTTGCTGGTTAGGTTCACTCTAACGACCCATTCTCCCAATAGAACGTCGCATTTTGACGTATACTTTACATACGGTCAAAAACTGTCGTACTTAAAAACTGCAGCGGCTCGCAAAATTGACATAATGTCCCATTTTGAGTTCGAGGGTCCTCTGGTAGGCTAAGATAAGGCAGTTTAGTACGACAGCTTCTTGACGTTGAGGAACCTGGGGAGCACGGGCTGGTCTGGACCTCAGGTTGTCAGAGATCACGGAGGTGTTACTGATGATGGTGACAGTACATGTGATGGTGACACAATGACAACAGCAGCTGTGATGATAACCACCATAGCGATGATGACACGACGATGGAAGCCACTATAACACTATAGTTCCCTCTGGAGGGAGTCCCCGTGGAGGCCACCAAGTTTGGACGTGAGTCGCGTTTGTGTTCGTCTGATGTTTGAATAGAGGCTGCAGACCTTTTACCATAATTACTTGGGAGGACTGTGCTCTAAAAGCCTTGGCACTGTGTAAGGCCGCGTCGCTCTCACGCACTTACACTCACACTTGTGCCACAAAACTGTTCTTACGACTTGTATCTTGAGCGGTGAGAGGGGGCGGTACGCTTAGCCTGCCTGTAGCTCACTCACATAGGAACACCCATCTAGGGGGCTCATACACATAGGAAGAACATGATTGTAAGAGTTCATACATAGGAAGAACACTCTTGCAGGTGTTCATATATTAGAAGAACACGCTTGAAGGTGTGTTAATCTGGGAAGAAGAAGCTTGTGAATAGAAATGAATTACACGTTGGTATGTGCATATATAAAATGAAGAACACTATCATACATGGGAAGTTGATGCATGTAGATGCTCAGGCAAGGGAAGAAGACGCTTGTAGAGTCTCGTCTTCATTTAAGAGTATATACCTTGCCGGAAACTTTTGGCAGCCGATTCCTCCACAAAATTGTCAAAAGCTCAACTCACAAGCAGAGATGTGTGTCTGCATGTGACTCCTTGACGGCCCCAGTCACTGTTCCTTCCACTTTAATACTAAAAGTGAACAAGTTTGTTCACTTTTACAGGTGCTCATAAGTTTGTATTACTGTTTGAAAAGTGGTTGATGGAACTTTCTTTGTAGGCGGCAGCCATCGTTGTGCCATTCTTCGTGACCAGTTGCAGCGACAATCACCTTGTAACCCTTTTGTGCTTGTGGCAGAACTGTGTCATATGGCAGAGACTCCTATTGAATCACTCCATGCTTGAACCTAGAATGTGCTGTATGTGGGGGACTCGAAGTCCGTCTTGGAGTGCTTAGTGTCTCAGTGCTCACAGTATGCATATCTGCTTACCAATGCTAAGACTGTCTATATGGGTTGTTCTATACGGAGTACACAGCTGCGTTCCAGTGGTCGTTCTCACATTGTGGGATCTCAGGGAATGACAGTGCTGATAGCTGTGCTATAGAGGCTTCCAGATTGGCTTCCGGCTTATGCTGTTTGAACTCCCTCTTCAGGGTTAGATTGCTCTTCTCCGAACGTTTGCAGTGGCAAGAGGATAGCCGTTCAATATTCTTGGGTAACCTCAAATTTGAGTGGCTTTGTTGGGTATGCAGGAAATACCCAATATCACTCTGTTGGGTATGCAGGATATACCCAATATCACTCTGTTGGGTATGCAGGAAATACCCAATATCACTCTGTTGGGTATGCAGGAAATACCCAATATCACTCTGTTGGGTATGCAGGATATACCCAATATCACTCTGTTGGGTATGCAGGAATACCCAATATCACTCTGTTGGGTATGCAGGATATACCCAATATCACTCTGTTGGGTATGCAGGATATACCCAATATCACTCTGTTGGGTATGCAGGATATACCCAATATCACTCTGTTGGGTATGCAGGAAATACCCAATATCACTCTGTTGGGTATGCAGGATATACCCAATATCACTCTGTTGGGTATGCAGGAAATACCCAATATCACTCTGTTGGGTATGCAGGAAATACCCAATATCACTCTATTGGGTATGCATGAAACATCGTCCGTTGGAGGAAGCTACGGCTTGATTGCTCTTTTGCCATAGTCGGTTGCGTGCCCAAATGCTCAGAGTGGGCGCTTATGGATCTAAATTGCGTTATTTGTAGAGTTCCAGAAACTGTTGAACATTTTATGATTATCTATCACATACGTTACGGCTCATAGTGTCGTGAGGGGTGCCTTCTTATCAGTGGGGTTCCCTTATATTAATTTAGGTATTCTGATGGGAGAGGGGGGGGGGGGATTTTGACTCTCCGGAAAAGTCTAATATAGTAGTGAGAATGTTATTCTCTTGTGTCCACTGATAGAGTTTGGGAGTTGTGAATGTTGTTGTTGTGGATTCTGTGTTGCAACTGATGTTCCTGTATGAGCATTCTCTCCCTGTTGTTGTTGTTGTTGCATGTTCTCTGCTTGCATGGTTGCATCACTGGATTTTGTTGCTGTCATTGTCCTCTCCTGCCAATCAGGTTCCGAGTCTCGCACTTAAATCAAGTACACTTCAACTAGTGAGGAGTAGAGTTGTCATAGACACAATCAGACAACACTGAATATATCAGGGGTCCACGACTCTTCATTAGTCTCCAAGTAAGCATTATAAATATTGCCGGAACAAAGGTGGATTTCTGGGCCTGCTGGCCACCCGAAGCAATAGCGTATTGGATCAAATTATCATAAATCAAGCCTGGCCCTAGGCAGGGCTTGTAGGAGAAAAACACGCGAAACCCTATCCAGGTAAAACCCCATCATCAACACCACCTACCAACAATCCCCCAGGACGCAACCCACAATAGTTTCCTAAATCATGGGTACCTACTTACTGCTAGATGAACAGAAGCATCGGAGGAAAAGGAATCGTGCAACAACAACGGCTGCCCTGCGCCTGGATTGAACCCGGCTCCCATATTGTGAGCTGACGACGTAGTCCACTCTGCCACGCAGGCAGCCGCCTCAACACTTGAGTTTAGAGTTGCTTGTGGGAAGGGTGGAGTCAGTGGGGCTGGAGGGAGAGAACATGGAGATAATGGAAGGGCAGAGGACTGGGATCCTACAGGGGAGAGAGGACTGGGATGCTGGAGAGAGGATTGGGATGCTGGAGGGAGAGGACTGGGATGCTGGAGAGAGGATTGAGATCCTGGAGGGAGAGGACTGGGATGCTGGAGAGAGGACTGGGATGCTGGAGGGGGGGGGAGAGGACTGGGATTATGCAGGGGGGGGGAGGTGAGAGCAGACGAGGGTCGGTGGCGTGTCCCAGCTCAATGTCTAATTAGTCTCGGCAAAGTAATTTATAGGCTTAAGAGGAGAGCGTGGTGCAGGCTGGGGGATTGTAGTGGCAGTGATTGTGATGGTGGTGTCGCAAGATTGTAGTGGCAGTGATTGTGATGGTGGTGGTGGTGTCGCAGGATTGTAGTGGCAGTGATTGTGATGGTGGTGGTGTCGCAAGATTGTAGTGGTAGTGATTGTGATGGTGGTGGTGTCGCAAGATTGTAGTGGTAGTGATTGTGATGGTGGTGGTGTCGCAAGATTGTAGTGGCAGTGATTGTGATGGTGGTGGTGGTGGTGTCGCAAGATTGTAGTGGCAGTGATTGTGATGGTGGTGGTGGTGTCGCAGGATTGTAGTGGCAGTGATTGTGATGGTGGTGGTGTCGCAATATTGTAGTGGCAGTGATTGTGATGGGTGGTGGTGTTGTTGAGGGATTGTGGTTTACCTTTGGCCAATTACGAGTGGTCTCCGCTTGCAGCCCCAGCTGCAGAAGCAAATACAATACCTGTGCCAGAGTCTACAGCAGGTGACACAGCAGGTGACACAGCAGGTGACACAGCAGGTGACACAGCAGGTGACACAGCAGGTGACACAGCAGGTGACAAGGCAGGTGACAAGGCAGGTCACTTGTCCCTTTGCTGCGGCTAGACGACATGACCACGTCATCTGATGTCCAAAATGACAAAGATATCTAAGCCACACTATGTTGCTATCATTGACACATGCTGAATACCCCAACATATCCACACACCTGTGTTATGAAACACCTGTGGAACATGATCTACGTACTCTTCTTAGATTAGACCCTTCTTATCCAGGTCTTAAAAGATAATTTCGCTAGTCTTCCAAAAAATTAAGCTGGCGGAAGTGGGTTAGAAACTGGCGTAAAGTGTAAATTCTATGAAACTTGGTTTCAGGAAATAAGTTAAAATTGGTTGTGAATGAAGAGGCATTGGTTGGTCTCCTTGCCAGGAGCGGACATTATGCCTTGTGTGACTGCTTCTTGTTACAAATCGGTCAAACGGTTGATGGAATGATCCCAATGGCTGCAAAACCCTTTTGTCAAAAAGGTTTACACAAAATTGAAAAACATGAAAAAAGTGAACCTCAACCAAAAAAAAATGGAGAAAGATCTTTTCTTACATAAATTCGTTTGTACAATGACTGAACTGCCCTCTAGGCTGCCCTCTCCACTGCCCTCTCCACTGCCCTCTCCACTGCTATCTCCACTGCCCTCTCCTCTGCCCTCTCCACTGCCCTCTCCACTGCCCTCTCCACTGCTATCTCCACTGCTATCTCCACTGCCCTCTCCTCTGCCCTCTCCACTGCTATCTCCACTGCCCTCTCCACTGCCATCTCCACTGCCCTCTCATGTTTTAACCTCCAGTTTTATTTTACATGTCTTCCCTGGAGGGCCGCTCTGCTTTCCCACGTTCTGGGCTCAAGAGCTAAACATTTTTGACTGGTTGACCTCTCACGGTCTAGCTGGAGTCTCCTCCACTCCGGCTGCGAGTCCCACTGGTCCACCTCCACGACCGAGGCCCAGAATAAGTCCCTGGACTCATCGACCGGTTCTCCATTGCTTCCTGACGTCGCCCCGTCGACCGAGACCCCATCTGGGGACTTGGGCCGGACTCTACATACTGCTGCAGCTCCGTCACGGAACATTTAAACAAACTTTCCTCCCTGAATGTGTTATAAAATTATGTGATTTAGTCCTTTGGGGCAACCGTGTGTGTGTGTGTGTGTCTGAGGACAACTATAGAGTTACTGCTCTTTACTCTATACTATGATAGCTTATAACGAAGTCACTTTCCACCGTGTGTCTGATTCCGCTCACAAGCGGGCGAAGCACTTATTCCGTGGTCGGTCCAGAGAGGCAAATGACTTATTCAGGTGACACTTTTAACTGGTGATTAATTACTGTGCATCATAACACAGTGGGAGTAATCTGCCGTCGCGGTACAGTGAAGTTGTAGGAACTTACCTCAACGTTGGCGAGGTTCTCTCTATGTTCTTATGTCTTACCTGTAATAGAATAAAAGTGAACTGTAATCGTAACAGACAGACAGAGATAGACACAAGACAGGAGTCTCGCGGCTGAGTGGACAGCACACTGGGGGTCGTAGTCCCGAGGCCCCGGGTTTGATTCCCAGCAGAGGCAGAAGCAAATGGGGGGGGGAGTTTCTTTCACCCTGATGAACCTGTTCAGCTATCAGTAGACAGGTAACTGCGAGTTAGACAGCTGCTACGGGCTGCTTCCTGGGGGATGTGTGTGTGTGTGTGTGTGTGTGTGTGTGTGTGTGTGTGTGTGTGTGTGTGTGTGTGTGTGTGTGTGTGTGTGTGTGTGTGTGTGTGTGAAAACGCGTATGTAAGACAAATATGTAATAGACATAACAGAGGGAAATTAAATTGGTTTGAAAGGCGGGGTTCAAGAGCTCAATTCTTCAGATACAAATAGTAAATACACAGACAGACAGACATACAGATTGAATATGTATGATATCAATGAGGATTTTTTTTTACCTTGTCACCCTGGAGTAAGGCGTCCAGAGACAACTGTCAACGACTGTAGACAGACAGACAGACACAAACTGACTGTCAACACTGTAACTCACATCTCTTCTCCGGCAGTATTGGTCAAATGATCACGCTACACTTTCCATATATCTGCACCACAACACAACACACCTGTCGATACTGTAAGTAATCACGTTACTGCTGTGGTTCAGTGCTCCACTCGCCCCCACACACCCGCTTAATCACCCCCTCAACTATTTTCGCAATCTTTGGTGGCTTTGTTCCGACACCACCTCGTCCTCTGAACCAAGACCTCAAAGTCCATTCCCGCCAATTCCAGTGTTTATGAATGAAAAGCGGTTTACACACGACTCACAACTGCTGACGTTCGAACATATCCGGAACAAGTGCTTCACTGACGAATTTTGTTCGAACCACAACGCTGTAAATGCTTCACCCACGTACTACAAATACAACAGCCCGTCCTCCAAACAAAGATCCAAAAGTGATTCCATGCACCCGCCAAACCCCCTGTTTATGAATGAAAAACGGTTTACACACGACTCACAACTGATTTCGTTCGAACACTTCCGGAACAAGTGCTTCACTGACGAGTTTTGTTCGAACTACTTCGCTATAAATGCTTCACCCACGTACTACAAATGCAAATAATCGCCAACAGAACCTAAACACCTAACCTAACCTATGCCTATTTATACACAATATGCTAATATATTATAATATTAATTTATACTTGAGAAAATTCCCGTTTTGAATGAACAGCATGTTAAAATTTATGAATGCGTCTGTGGGGTCGACCGCTGAATGGACTTGAGTCGAGGACGGGTTGGTGTAAATGCTTCACCCACGTACTACAAATAATCGCTGGTAGAACCTAAACCACCTAACCTAACCTAACCTAACCTAACCTAACCTAGCCTAACCTAACCTAACCACCTAACCTAACCTAACCTAACCTAACCTAACTATAAACTCAATTCGATTGTATAAAAAATATTCATTTATATATGAGAAAAAACTATTTTATTAATTACACAGTTTGCTCAAAATTTATGAATGCTTCTCTGGGAACGACCGCTGCTTTAACGAGCCTGCCTTGAGGACGGGTTGAATCACTACAGTGTTAGCTGTTGTTAGTGAATGTTGTGGCAGAAAACTCTTCACAAGCCACAGTTGTGAAGGTTGGAAGGCGGGCTCGAACTCGGGTCTCGTCTAAGACGTTGCTAAACAAGTGTTGTGGTTGTTAAGATGCAACAACCACGTCAGACTGGACGAGCTCTTCACTAACTACCAGTCTAAGACACCTTACTGCTCCGGCACAGTTACTGCTCCGGCACAGTTACTGCTCCGGCACAGTTGCTATACGTGTTGCCGCTATCATCCTTCGTTGTTGCAGTGTTGCTACTATCATCCTCCGTTGTTGCAGTGTTGCTACTATCATCCTCCGTTGTTGCAATGTTGCTACTATCATCCTCCGTTGTTGCAGTGTTGCTACTATCATCCTCCGTTGTTGCAGTGTTGCAACTATCATCCTCCGTTGTTGCAGTGTTGCTACTATCATCCTCCGTTGTTGCAGTGTTGCTACTATCATCCTCCGTTGTTGCAGTGTTGCTACTATCATCCTCCGTTGTTGCAGTGTTGCTGCTATCATCCTCCGTTGTTGCAGTGTTGCTGCTATCATCCTCCGTTGTTGCAGTGTTGCTGCTATCATCCTCCGTTGTTGCAGTGTTGCTACTATCATCCTCCGTTGTTGCAGTGTTGCTGCTATCATCCTCCGTTGTTGCAGTGTTGCTACTATCATCCTCCGTTGTTGCAGTGTTGCTGCTATCATCCTCCGTTGTTGCAGTGTTGCTACTATCATCCTCCGTTGTTGCAGTGTTGCATCTTCACGACCTCAGGCAACACCCGGGTCTGCCAGGGTGTTACAAGACAGTGTTGAGTCAATCACTAACAACACTACACCACCTTCCCGACGCCCCTCATCCTTCAAGACAGGTAAACTCTCTCCTTCACCTGAGCCATCAACTTATATATATAATATGATGTGTATTACAATGCTCGGGCTCGCCATAGCCCGTGCTACATGGACACTTCGTTCTGAATAGCTAAAACAACATATAATAGTTTATATTTGTGGTAAACGAGAGTTTATATATAAGGTTGACGTTCATGTCTTTATAGGTAAGATCTGCCCACGTCGAGGGAGAGAACTTCTCTCACATTGAGGTAAGTTGTAGAGTTCCTTGTGCTCCCACAGCTTTACTGTGGGCGGCCAGGGGGGGGGGCCGCCCATGCTGTTGGGGAGAGGTGATCAAACAGACTGTCCTCGCCCCGGGTGGTGACACCCTCTGGCACTCTGTATAGGGTCGTAAACCCGTAGAGCTTCAGGGCCAAAGTTATATATATCAACCGAATGTTGCCTTGTTATCACGTCCACTAATTAATCACAACTTAAAAAACAGTGTCAGTCGGATGACAAAATCATCTCAGAGAAGGAAATTAGTGTATAGAATTCTATGCTATGACACTTAATTCTCTGACACAGCGTGTTAGGGCTAAGGTCTAACAGCCCTGAGGGACGTTGCATAGCGTCCTGGGGTCAGATTCACCAAGCAGTTACGCAATCACTTACGAACCTGTACGTCTTTTCTCAGTCTTTGGCGGCTTTGTTTACAATTATTAAACAATGTGCTCCGAAGCACCAGGAGGCTGTTTATAACAATAACAACAGTTGATTGGCAAGTTTTCATGCTTGTAAACTGTTTAATAAATGTAACCAAAGCCGTCAAAGATTGAGGAAAGATGTACACGTTCGTAAGTGCTTGCGTAAGTGCTTTCGTGAATCTGGCCCCAGGTGCTCACTGGGTGTGTTGAAGCTCACTTGTGTGCTCAATCACATCCAACAAAGTGTGTCAAGCTTCCTGGTGAAGCAACAGTAAGTTTTTTTTATTATTATTATTATTATTATTATTATTATTATTATTATTATTATTTTCTACCACAGACGTGGCCAGACATTTACACTGCTAACCAGCTTATGTACATTTACTTCTGTCCTCCATTGACAGGGTTAGAGATGTGTTAAATATATAGTTCAAGGGTTTATTGAACAATCACCCACAGAAGGTGATTCGGTGCTTTTAAAATGCTAAGCTAACCTACATGCGTAAATACATAGATGCACAGATTTACGTATGCCCTACATAAAGTGTTCGAAGTGTCTTTTACATAGTGTCATTAATGTGCATTTACAAAGGTGAAATGTAATTCTGATTAGCTTCCACGTATACTTTATACTCATACATATATACATACACACATATACATACTGTGACGATAATCTCCTTCAAGAGATTGAGCCTGCTCTTCCCTTCATAACTACGTCGTCACAATTATATAATACGACTATGGAAGAAATGTCCAACGACGACAACAACACCAGCAAGGCTTGCCAGGGTGAGCAAAACGTATGCAGCCAGCCACCTGTTCGAACTCCAACCACCAAACTACCCGTTGATCGCTACGGCTCCGCTGATTGGTCGCCGGTCTGGCTGCACCTGCCTCGCCCCCCCCCCTATACTACCTGATGTCTGGGGTCGCCCCAACATCAGTCCTCAGAATGTTCAGTGCTTTCGTGGCCATCACACCTCCCAGCTAGACTCTAGCGTGTACTGAGAGAGGTGGTGGCTTTAAGCCAATATTCCAGCACCTCCCATTTTACTTTGTGTTGCACTTCTTGTTATTTTGCCTTAACGTAACTTTTCATTGTGTCATTTAATTATTCTTATTATTTTGATTGATTGATTTTATTATAAGAATTTGTTTGTGCATTTTATTCATGTTTTGATTTATTTAACGTAATTAAAATTTCATTGTTAAAGTTTTACTTGTGTTTTGTGTGTCTTCTCCTTACCTTACCACAGACGAAGTTCCAGTTTTTCTATTTTTTTTTATAACTATGTGACGAGGCCATACCCCTAGCCTTAAACAGCCGAACACCAACGCGTTACCGTCACAATACATATACATACATATATACACATACACATGCATTCACATTCATTTTTCTCTTTTACTCTGACAGGGTGAGATAGCTGATAGAGAAACTAGTGTGCAATTAAGCACTTAATCAGTGAAGGTGATTAAGATACTTTTACAAGCTCAGATTATATAGTTACATCACATACATACATTGTATAATTGATACATCACATGGTCAATCTTGGGTACAAATCCAATATATCATCAAGTGTTCCAGTACTCATATAGTAACTACAGAGTTCAGCATACCTTAGCCCAGGAGGGCGAAAGTCAGTCAGTATGGGACATTCTACAATATAATGTTCAAGAGAGTGCATGTTTTCTCTTTCACAAAGTTGACACATTGTGTACTCGACATTTGGGTTTTGAGAAAGCTGCCAGATACGTCTATATCCCATGCGTATTCTGGCCACTATAACATCACATTGCCGGGTTCTTGTTCTATTAGTCCCATATGTGAATGTCTCCTCACGATATCTATCATAATATTTAATGCTACAACTTTCAGGTCTTTGTGAATTTGTTAGGTAGGTGAGATTTTCATTATGTATTTGTTTAAGTATTCTCTTTGTCACTGCTAATGAAACACCCATATCAATTTCTACCACTGGTTTTCTGCAGGCTGACTTAGCAAGCATATCAACAGTGTCATGCCTTGAGATGCCAACATGTGATGGTATCCATAGGAATTTTATTTCAAATCTGTTTTCTTTAGCAGCTAAAACATTCATTCGAATATCACTGACTATTTTCTGGGTGTCACTACTATGTGCGTTCAGTGCCAGGAGTGCACTCTGCGAGTCACAGTATATAAGTCCACTGCCTTTGTCTTTTAAAAATTCAGTGGCAAGGTATATGCCTGCAAGTTGGGTTTGAGTTGTACTTGCCCAGTCATTGACGCGCTTCATTGCTATATGTACGAGAGAAGATTGTTCAAATATATTTCATGCACATCCGGTACATCGTCCACCTTCTTCTACAGAGCCGTCGGTATAGCACTGATACACATCGTTACCCATACTCTGAGTACTCTCAGTGATGCTGCACAGTGTTAACTGTTTTAATAATGTAGAGTGCACACTATCTTTCTTGGGTGCATTTACAAAATCAACTGATAGATCCCAGTTATCCCATGGAGTAATTGGTTGATTAATCATTAATTAAGTTGGGTACATATTTAATATTTTGATGGAGTTGGCTACCTTATAGAACTAAAATACATAATCAGATTTCGTTCTTCGTCTATAATGACAGGTCAATGGTGATGGAGACCAATCCGAGGACGGGTGACGAGGCTCCATAAATGCAAATGAACCTAAATGAACCTTTTTAATATGGAAAAAAGTGGTGGTCAAGGAGGGTGCTTGTGTGTGCAGGGTTCACGAACACAGACAACCTGTTAAACCTCTGTTGATTAACAGTGTGATAACCAATTAGTGTGTCCTGAAGCTGAACACAGTGTCAAGCAAGTGACTTCGTTATAAGCTATCATAGTACAGAGTAAGGAGCAGTAACTCTGTAGTTGTCCCCAGACACACACACACACACACACACGGTGGCACAATGGACTAAATCACATAATTTTATAACACATTCAGGGAGGAAAGTTTGTTTTAAATGTTCCGTGACGGAGCTGCAGCAGTATGTAGAGTCCGGCCCAAGTCCCCAGATGGGGTCTCGGTCGACGGGGCGACGTCAGGAAGCAATGGAGAACCGGTCGATGAGTCCAGGGACTTATTCTGGGCCTCGGTCGTGGAGGTGGACCAGTGGGACTCGCAGCCGGAGTGGAGGAGACTCCAGCTAGACCGTGAGAGGTCAACCAGTCAAAAATGTTTAGCTCTTGAGCCCAGAACGTGGGAAAGCAGAGCGGCTCTCCAGGGAAGACATGTAAAATAAAATTAGAAGTTAGAACAGATATCTGTCAACAGATATCAATCACGTCTTCCACTGGCCGATGGATAACAAATTCTACAGTGCAAAATTTCAGACACTTAAGCTTGACAAAATTACGAGCTCTGTACAGAATACAAGACGCGAACCTAGACGGAAAGCCAGGTTAATGATTGGATGGATTATAAGAACGTCCAGATTGAAGGGATTATAAGAACGTCCAGATTGGAGGGATTATAAGAACGTCCAGATTGAAGGGATTATAAGAACGTCCAGATTGGAGGGATTATAAGAACGTCCAGATTGGATGGATTATAAGAACGTCCAGATTGAAGGGATTATAAGAACGTCCAGATTGGATGGATTATAAGAACGTCCAGATTGAAGGGATTATAAGAACGTCCAGATTGAAGGGACTATGGAATCCAGGGATTCCATAGCAATGGTAATAATATATAAATCATTGATGTTGTTCCGTCTTGAGTGTTGCTTGGTGTTCAACTCCCCGTTCTTAGAAGAAGAGATTTCTGAAAAAAACAAGGGATTCATAGAGCATGTTTGGACACGACAAAGTACTTATATAATTGGAACCGTTCTGAAGACTCAAAATGTACTCAGTATAAAGGAGACAAGAGAGGTTACCTTGAGGTTATCTTGATGTGCTTCCGGGGCTTAGCGTCCCCGCGGCCCGGTCCTCGACCAGGTAACAGATAACATATACATGGAAGAAACTAGAAGGCCAGGTCCCAAATTTTCACAATAACAACATACTGGAGCGTAAGATATGGAAGGAAATGTAGAACCAGTGAACACAAGAGAGTGAACATAGGCAGCATAACAGAGGACACTGAACACCACGGGTTTACGGCTGTTCAATACCCTCCCCCAACTATAAAAAAAAAACATTGCCGGAACAAATTTTCAAGAGGATATTGAACAAGTTCCTGCCGGAAATGTCAGGTCAGCTGGGATGTAATGGCTTTGCGGGCGTGCGGGCTGCAGCAAGCAATAGTTTAACTGATCAAGTCACCGCCAGCCTGACCCCAGGCCAGACTTACAGAGTAGAACATTTCTCGAAACTGATTAAATTTAGCTACAGGTAAATTACAGGCATGTGAATTCTTGGGGAATTGTATTAATGGTGGTTGTTGGTGGTTGTGTGGTTGTTGGCGATGGTGGTCGTTGGTGGTGGTAGTTGTTGAGGTAGTTGTAACAATCGTCTTCCTTTTGAGGTAATTAATGCTACGATAGTTGAAGACATCTCAGGAGACCCGTGACTGCGTCTGTCAGTCAAAATCTTGCAGACGAGGAGTCACAATAACGTGGCTGAAGTATGTTGACCAGACCACACACTAGAAGGTGAAGGGACGACGACGACGTTTCGGTCCGTCCTGGACCATTCTCAAGTCGATTCAATGGATTCATTCTCAAGTCGATTCAATGGATTCATTCTCAAGTCGATTCAATGGATTCATTCTCAAGTCGATTCAATGGATTCATTCTCAAGTCGATTCTACAGGACGAACCGAAACGTCGTCGTCCCTTCACCTTCTAGTGTGTGTGGTCTGGTCATCAGTCATAGTCTTATTACGTTCTTTGTTTCAGCTGTTGAATATCTAATTAGTCTCTTCAGATGTTTATTGGAATTGTTGTCTATATATTTCTTAGGAATTGGTACTATTGGAGGTTAAATAATATATTTTTAAATAGCTGTATGTAATAGTTTAATTTTGTAGGTTGTTCCTTTGCTGTTGAAATTAATCCAATTGAGTGTATGTGTGTATATATATATATATATATATATATATATATATATATATATATATATATATATATATATATATATATATATATATATATATATATATATATATATAATATATATATATATATATTTACTTACATAGTGACGTAGGGTGTGAGAACAGCTGTGTTGACAGTGTCTCGTAATCATCTTCGACACAAGGAGCAAACTGCCAGAGGTACAAAGATGTTAACGAGGCAATTAGCTATTCTTTCTGCCGTCTTGACTGTCAGGACGAGAGAGCTATTTGGCTGTCAGTGCCAACACTGGCTGTCAGGAGGGGGCACCCACCCCTGGAGGCCCCCAGACCATACCAAGCCGCCCTCAACAGTACATAGTGGCGGCCAGAGACCAAAAGAGGCGCTGTGTGATGCCACTGCTCTTGTGGTTCGCTCTTTAGTCCCATGTTTTCTGGGGTAGCAAAAGTGTTTATCAAGAGGCAGAGCTCTTATGGGAGGGGAGAGGTGTGGAAAGTGAGTGTGGGGGAGGGGGGAGTTGGTGTGGGTGTTGAGGTGGGGGAAAAGAGGATAAGGGGAAAAAAGGTAGGTTGAAATAGAGGCTTCAAGCACTCTGAATTTCATTCATTTTCCTTCTAAATGGTGAATTACTCACCTAGTTGTGCTTGCGGGGGTTGAGCTCTGGCTCTTTGGTCCCGCCTCTCAAGTGTCAATCAACTGGTGTACAGGTTCCTGAGCCTACTGGGCTCTGTCATATCTACACTTGAAACTGTGTATGGAGTCAGCCTCCACCACATCACTGCCTAATGTATTCCTCCTGTTAACTTCTCTGACACCTGAATGGTTTTTTTTCTAATGTGTCTGTGGCTCATTTGGGTATTCAATCTCCAAATGACTTGTGTTCCCTTGTTCGAGTACCACCCGCGTGTGTGGGGGGGGGGGGAGACCAATGTAGGGAAGGTCACCCTAGACCTACATACCTACCTACCTACCTACATACCTACCTACCTACCTTGCTCCCTCCCTCCCTCTCTCCCTACCTACTTCCCTACCTACCTCCCTCCCTCTCTCCCTCCCTACCTACTTCCCTACCTACCTCCCTCCCTCCCTCCCTACCTACTTCCCTACCTACCTCCCTCCCTCCCTACCTACCTACTTCCCTACCTACCTCCCTCCCTCCCTACCTACTTCCCTACCTACCTCCCTCCCTCCCTACCTCCCTCCCTTCCTCCCTACCTACCTGCCTACCTACCTACTTGCCCATGTTGTTTGCCCATCATAGCGGTGTTTAGGGCGGCTGAGCGTGTGTTTACTCACTTAACTACGATGGTTGAGACTCAGCTCCTGGTCTCCGACCCTCAGCCATCAGTTAACTAACGTGGTGGTGCTCGAATCCCCCAGATCTGTATGTTGTGGTCACGTGATCTCTGTTTCCTGCCTTTCAGCGAGTGTGCGTGCGCGCGCGCGCGTCTCAGCCAAGCGCCGTCCGTAACGATTGCTTGTGTGTGTGTGTGTGTGTGTGTGTGTACTCACCTATATGTACTCACCTATATGTGCTTGCAGGATCGAGCATTGACTCTTGGATCCCGCCTTTCTAGCTATCGGTTGTTTACAGCAATGACTCCTGTCCCATTTCCCTATCATACCTGGTTTTAAAAGTATGAATAGTATTTGCTTCCACAACCTGTTCCCCAAGTGCATTCCATTTTTCTACTACTCTCACGCTAAAAGAAAACTTCCTAACATCTCTGTGACTCATCTGAGTTTCCAGTTTCCACCCATGTCCCCTCGTTCTGTTATTATTACGTGTGAACATTTCATCTATTTCCACTTTGTCAATTCCCCTGAGTATTTTATATGTCCCTATCATATCTCCTCTCTCCCTTCTTTTCTCTAGTGTCGTAAGGTTCAGTTCCTTCAGCCGCTCTTCATATCCCATCCCTCGTAGCTCTGGGACAAGCCTCGTCGCAAACCTCTGAACCTTCTCCAGTTTCTTTATGTGTTTCTTCAGGTGGGGGCTCCATGATGGCGCGGCATACTCTAAGACGGGTCTCACGTAGGCAGTGTAAAGCGCCCTAAAAGCTTCCTCATTTAGGTTTCTGAATGAAGTTCTAATTTTCGCCAGTGTAGAGTACGCTGCTGTCGTTATCCTATTTATATGTGCCTCAGGAGTTAGATTAGGTGTCACATCCACTCCCAGGTCTCTTTCTCGAATCGTTACAGGTAGGCTGTTCCCCTTCATTGTGTACTGTCCCTTTGGTCTCCTGTCACCTGATCCCATTTCCATAACTTTACATTTACTGGTGTTAAACTCCAGTAGCCATTTCCCTGACCATCTCTGCAGCCTGTTTAAGTCCTCTTGGAGGATCCTACAATCCTCGTCTGTCACAACTCTTCTCATTAATTTTGCGTCATCTGCAAACATTGACATGTATGATTCCACTCCTGTAAACATATCATTTACGTAAATTAGAAAGAGGATTGGTCCCAGCACCGATCCTTGAGGTACTCCACTTGTTACTGTTCGCCAGTCCGACTTTTCGCCCCTTACCATTACCCTCTGGCTCCTTCCTGTTAGGTAGTTCTTCACCCATACTAGGGCCTTTCCGCTTACTCCTGCCTGCCTCTCAAGTTTGTATAGCAGTCTCATGTGCGGTACCGTATCAAAGGCCTTTTGGCAGTCAAGAAATATGCAGTCTGCCCAGCCTTCTCTGTCCTGCCTTATCCTTGTTACTTTATCATAGAATTCTAAAAGGTTTGTTAGGCATGATTTCCCTGTCCAGAACCCATGTTGGTGCTTGTTTACAAACCCAATGCTCTCCAGGTGCTCAACAAGTCTTAGCCTAATTATTCTTTCATGTATTTTGCAGGGGATGCTTGTCAGTGATACGGGTCTGTAGTTAAGTGCCTCCTCCCTATCACCCTTTTTGAAAATCGGTACGACATTTGCCTCCTTCCAGCAACTGGGCAATTCTCCCGACATAAGTGACTCATTAAAGATCATTGCCAGAGGCACGCTGAGAGCCTGCGCTGCCTCTTTGAGTATCCACGGTGATACTTTGTCTGGTCCAACAGCTTTATTTGCATCCAGTGTTGTCAACTGTTTCATTACATCCTCTGCTGTCACCTCTATATCCGATAGTCTTTCATCTTGGGTAATCTCTTCTAACAATGGGAGCTGCTCAGGCTCGGTTGTGAACACTCCATGGAATTTTGCATTCAGTACCTCTCGGATTTCCTTGTCGCTTTCTGTATATGCCCCTTCTGTTTTCCTCAGTCTTGTCACTTGGTCATTTACCGACATCTTCCTTCTTATATGGCTATGTAGTAATTTTGGTTGCTTTTTCGCTTTGACTGCAATATCGTTCTCATAATTTCTTTCCGACACTCGTCTTATGTTAATGTAATCATTCCTAGCTCTGTTACATCTAATCCTGTTGTCCTCTGTCCTTTGTCTTCTGTACTTCCTCCACTCCCTCCTGCTTCTCACCTTTGCTTCCTGACACTGTCTATTAAACCATGGGTTATTATATTCCCTCCTGCTTTTTTCCTTTATTGTTGGAATAAATCTATCTTCAGCCTCCTTGCATTTCAATATGACTTGGTTCATCATACCTTGCACTGTTTTTCCTCTAAGTTCTTCCTTCCTGTGTGTGTGTGTGTGTGTGTGTGTGTGTGTGTGTGTGTGGACCTGCCAACCCTTGACACCACCACCGCTCTTCTCTCCTAATCCTCTCTCTCTCTCTCTCTCTCTCTCTCTCTCTCTCTCTCTCTCTCTCTCTCTCTCTCTCTCTCTCTCTCTCTCTCTCTCTCTCTCTCTCTCTCTCTCTCTCTCTCTCTCTCTCTCTCTCTCTCTCTCTCTCTCTCTCTCTCTCTCTCTCTCTCTCTCTCTCTCTCTCTCTCTCTCTCTCTCTCTCTCTCCTCTCTCTCTCTCTCTCTCTCTCTCTCTCTCTCTCTCTCTCTCTCTCTCTCTCTCTCTCTCTCTCTCCCCCCTCCCCCCCAGCGGGTCCAGCCCCCCCTCCCCCGCTAAACGCCCAGCTCCTCAGATGAACCAAAGTAAGGAATTCATAAGTCGTGAGCCATGTTTGGGAGCCCTGAGGGTTACTGGTCGAGGAATGCTGTGTTGCTCTGTGGTATACTGTGTGGCTGCTCCCCTAGTTGTGCTGGCGGGGGTTGAGCTCTGGCTCCTTGGTCCCGCCTCTCAATTGTCAATCAACTGGTACTTACCTAATTGTACTTACCTACTTGTGCTTGCGGGGGTTGAGCTTTGGCTCTTTGGTCCCGCCTCTCAACTGTTAATCAACTGGTGTACGCGTTCCTGAGCCTACTGGGCTCTATCATATCTATCTTGAGGTTATCTTGAGATGATTTCGGGGCTTTTTAGTGTCCTCGCGGCCCGGTCCTCGACCAGGCCTCCACCCCCAGGAAGCAGCCCGTGACAGCTGACTAACACCCAGGTACCTATTTTACTGCTAGGTAACGGGAGCATAGGGTGAAAGAAACTCTGCCCAATGTTTCTCGCCGACGCCTGGGATCGAATCCAGGACCACAGGATCACAAGTCCAGCGTGCTGTCCGCTCGGCCGACCGGCTCCCGATCTACATTATAAACTGTGTATGGAGTCAGCCTCCACCACATCACTGCCTAATGCATTCCACCTGTTAACTACTCTGGCCCCTGTGGCTCATTTGGGTACTCAGTTTCCAACTGTGTCCCCTTGTGCGTGTTCCCCTTGTGTTAAATAGACTGTCTTTATCTACCCTATCAATTCCCTTCAGAATCTTGAATGTGGTGATCATGTCCCCCCTAACTCTTCTGTCTTCCAGCGAAGTGAGGTTTAATTCCCGTAGTCTCTCCTCGTAGCTCATACCTCTCAGCTCAGGTACTAGTCTGGTGGCAAACCTTTGAACCTTTTCCAGTTTAGTCTTATCCTTGACTAGATATGGACTCCATGCTGGGGCCGCATACTCCAGGATTGGTCTTACAAATGTGGTATACAAGATTCTGAATGATTCCTTACACAGGTTCCTGAAGGCAGTTCTGATGTTAGCCAGCCTCGCATATGCCGCAGATGTTATTCTTTTTATGTGGGCTTCAGGAGACAGGTTTGGTGTGATGTCAACTCTTAGGGATGAGTATGGGGTCCATTACCGCCCACGGGATGAGTATGGGGTCCACTACCGCCCACAGGATGGGTATGGGGTCCACTACCGCCCACAGAATGAGTTTGGGGTCCACTACCGCCCAGGGGATGAGTATGGGGTCCCCTACCGCCCACAGGATGAGTATGGGGTTCACTACCGCCCAGGGGATGAGTATGGGGTCCACTACCGCCCACAGGATGAGTATGGGGTCCACTACCACCCACAGGATGAGTATGGGGTTCACTACCGCCCTCAGGATGATTATGGGGTCCACTACCACCCACAGGATGAGTATGGGGTCCACTACCGCCCTCAGGATGAATATGGAGTCCACTACCACCCACAGGATGAGTATGGGGTCCACTACCACCCACAGGATGGGTATGGGGTCCACTACCACCCAGGGGATGAGTATGGGGTCCACTACCACCCACAGGATGGGTATGGGGTCCACTACCACCCAGGGGATGAGTATGGGGTCCACTACCACCCACAGGATGGGTATGGGGTCCACTACCACCCAGGGGATGAGTATGGGGTCCACTACCGCCCACAAATGAGTTTGAATCGAGGATCGAGCAAGCCAGGGCACACAAAGGCTTAGAGACAGGTGGTGCAGAGCTACAGCCCAACCTCCCGTACCACAGCAAGGCAAGGACATACACACTGCCCACCACACCCGGCCTCCATAAGCGAGCTTCCACACATTTCATGCCCTTCTTTCGTTCCAACCGCAGCCCGCAGGCGTCCTTAACCTGCGGGATTGACAGGTCGCAGCTGCGCAGTGGACGCCGTGGGCCGCAGCTGTACAGTGGACGCCGCTAGGACGCTCTAATGATAAGCTGCAAGGTTTATTTACACACCTCACACTCTGTGATGTCACCGTCTAGTCAATGGCGGGAAAGGAGATTTCTGACGTCATGGCCTGAGTCAGCCAGTCAGCGGCGGGGAGACTAAATACGTCATTACTAGGGGGAACCAGTGAGCGGTCGAAGGCTTATTACGTCATCACCCAGGGAACCAGTGAGCGCTGGAAGGCTTATTACGTCATCACCAAGGGAACCACTGATAAGCGTTGATTTCCTTCCTGCAGTCGAGAGGACTCGGAGTTTGTGACGTA